AAAAAAAAAAAAAAAAAAGAAGTAAAAGGAAGAAAAATACCCTTCATGAAGTCTTGCAATGAATGAACTCCAGAAAGTTTGCAACTATGGCATAATAGTTAGACCATTTTCACTTTTTCTCAAATAGAATTGAGCAATGCCATGAGTTCCCACAGAGTAATCTTAGCTTCATAATGGATATGTAGATGTTGAACAAGGTTTTGGAATGTTTAAAGAATGGAAGAGAAAGCTGTTCATGTCAAACAACTAAGTTCTTGATTATTGAGTGCTCTTGAAATTTTTGGTTAAGCACCCGAATAAATTTCTTATTGTAATATCTGTAGTATAAGCCATTATCCATACATAATTGTTACACACAATATATGTTCAAGATTACTGTAAGTCCCTTGTTGGATTGCAAGAAAGTTCATCTGGTGAGACCAGCAATTTCTCTACCAAGGTAATTTACATTCAATCGTTCCAATAGAAGGTAATATTCTCTTGGAGCTAAGAATCTACAAGTGTAAAAAACTCTTTATATTGAAAATTACACGAAGACCTTATAAATCACGCAAAAGATCTTCCTGTCAGTGTTACTTTTGAGTATCTGGATGACTGTCCACTTGAGTGAGACGTGTAAAGGGATCGGTCTTAGAAATCTATGGCATCAACTGGAAGTGAAGTGGCCCTGTGAAGTGAGTGGGGGAGCAATGCTCCTGTATAGAAACTCTGGGCAGTGGCCATGTGCTCTGGACTGCAGGAACCGTAAGCAAGTGGATATCTCCTAACCTTAGAATTAGAACATTCGTTCTCGATTTCTATGGGCAAATATGAAGAAAAATGCTTGCCTGAGTTAAATGATCTTAGTAGAAGCTCATCCTTCTCTATAGATGGAGTTGAACCTGACGATACCTTATCCTTTCTTGGGATTTTGTTGCTGGACCTTTGACGAGAATATTTTGATTCAACTCCTAACCGCTGATCTTTTAGGCCCCTCAATTGCATTTGGTACTTTGCCTTGAGCCACCTCAACTCTCGCCTTATCTCATTCTCATAATCTTCTACTGGAGTTCTAGCTCCTGAAGATTTTGAGGAGGGAGAGTCTTGTAGTCTTACATGAGACTTGTCATCCTTGTCAACACTCGTAAGTTTCTCCTCACCACCATCAATGGATTCATCCACCAATTTGTCTTTAACATCAGTGTGACAGTCAACAGAGCCCCGTGCTCGTGATTTTGTTTTGTCATGTTGTGCCCAAATATCAGTATAATGTACACCATCAGATTCCCATGTTCCCTTAGGAGCGGAGTCAGTGATACATTGTTCAGAGCGATCCAAATGGTACATTATCTCCTCAAAACGGCCATGCATAGCACCACATCCATGCTTGGAACAATGGAGCACTTGCAAGTTCCTAGGACCATCAGACGATAGGTAGTTCACAAGAGAACCATTAGAAGCACAGTTGTGACAGCCACGGTTCGTGTGGTTGAGGCTTTCCTCTATCCCAAACCCCTTCTTCCACTCAGGTACTAAGGAAGCAATTTCTCCATCTATCATGTCTGCTATCTTGGTAACGTCTTGGTCTGTAATATCTAACTCGGCCACCATTTCAGTAGCAACACTTAGTGCTGTGTCATTCTCAACATCAAAGGGAAAATAAATGTTGCGTACACGACCTGCAAATGAAAATGCAGAGCAGTTTAGTTTACAACAAGACTACTTAACAGTACTAGCTATGAAGCACTAATAGCACAGAACCTTCTTTGTCCGCAATCCTGAGTCGTAAAAAGATGCCATCATCTTCTCTTCTCCGTCCCTTAATGCTGATATCAACATTTTCCATGTCATCATCTTCGGGATCTGTGAATAGATCAATTTCATTTGCCTCATACTCAAGTTGTTGATAGTATGAATCAGTCTCTGGTTCATATCCAAGATAACCATTTACTAGAGAGTTGTTAGTATCACATATGCTCAAGAGACGCTGTCCTAATGTAGGGTCTAATTCGTCAGACTCTTGCAAGTAATTTAGTGTCTCTGAGTCTGATACGTAATCATCAATTTGGAGAAAAGGGTCATCAAGAAGCTCCCTTGCAGATAGTCTGTGAGATACCGTTGCCAAGCATTTCTCAACAAAACGTCGAACCTCAGGATCCTCCACTTTGTAAAGGGCATCTGGCTTTTTTCCCTACACCACAATCTATGTTGATGGATTCAAAGAGAAAAATCTAAATCAAACAGTTTCAAGATTTTAGGTTCTTACAGAAGTCACTTTTTTGTAGATCTGAGCAGGGTGAGTGCACTCACTATATGGATAATCAAAGGTCACCATCTCTAAAATACACATTCCAAATGAATAAATGTCCACTAATTCATTGTACTCCTCCGCATAAACCTCCGGAGCCATGAACTCTGGTGTTCCTGGTAGGACAAACAAGAAGCAACAAAACATTGTAGGACTATAACTGCAAAAGCTCTCATCTTTACAATTTTCCAGAAGAATTTAAGCTGGATAGAATATGAATATGCACTATTACATCTCAAACACACCATCGATTTCATTTACTCTTCAAGATTTTTGTCGAGCAAGATAGTATTAGAATTACCATTTTAAGAAGAATTAAAGCTGGAAATAATACGAAACATACACAAGAGATCTCATTCACATCATGAGTTCCAATTATTCTTCAACATTTTCGTGGAAAATAAATAGCATTAGGATTACCTACACAACGTTCGGCATGGGACTTGCGCAGGATGGCGGCAAGGCCAAGATCACCAATTTTGACTTCCCCTTGGTTTCCGTTGATGAAAATGTTATCACACTTGAGGTCTCTGTGTATAACAGGAGGGTCGTGGCTATGCAGGTAATGAAGCCCTCTCAAAATCTGTCGACACCAACGCTTTACTGCTCTAATGTTAACCCTCTTGTGTTTTAGCCTGTACCTGTCCAAGATTAAGAAATAGTTCCACATCACAACAAATTACAACTTATAGATATTACCATTGATCAGATAATCACAACACGTTCTAAAGAATGAGGAATTATGAACCGAATATGATTTCTACTTACTGTCTGAGAGTGCCAGAGGTGAACATCTCAGTGACAAAGTTAATGTTTCTATTGGAAACATCAACCCAAGAAGTGTAAAATTTCATGATGTTTTTATGCTTGAGTGTCTTGAGCAAATGAATTTCACAATACAGCCTCTCAAGATCTTCTGGACTTTGCATAAAGTCATAAAGCTTCACCTGATTCCATGCTACTTNAGAGTGGAGAGAGAGAAAGGGAGAAGGGAGATGAATTGGCACTCAATCAAGATTAATACTAGAAGAAAATCTGGGGACTATGTTGTTGTGTTAAAAAGTTATTTGTTTAAAAATAAAAAAAGAAAAAAAGGGAGAGGCATAGGTTAGTCCATTGAAAAGACAAAAAACCTTTTAATTTTAATATTATTTGTGTAACAACTCATAGACAGCCAACATGGCAAAGATTTCTCAAAGGCTATGAAGTAAATAAAACAGGCATATCATGACAAAGCACCTTTATTTTAAGCCTGCTTTTCTTTCAATATATCATCACGAGCTGTAAATCCACAACCCCTATGGCCTATGCACCCACCTTGTCCCCTTTGTTCTTCTCCGTACACTATATGTTTTTTTTCTTCTTCAACAAACTTACTTACACGCTTTCTTTTTTAGGTTATTTTAATTTACTTTATATCGTATTTTAAGGGCGTACACTAGATTTTTGTGGTTTGATCCTTCTCCGGATCCTGCACATAGCGAGAGTTTAGTGCATCGGGTTATCCTTTTATACTTTTTATTTTTCTAATATTCAATATTAAGGGAGGAAGAACTTGTTATATGTCTTTTTAGTAGGATTAGATAGCTTGACATTATAAAATAAGGGCCTTAGGGTGTATTTTTGGTAAAAAGGAAAATGACTTTCATAAAGTTATTTAGCGTGAGAAAGTCATTTTATAATATTTGATGTAACGAAAATCATTTTCCATCGGGAGGCGTAAAATGACATTTCTTACTTATGGACGGAAGTTATTTTCCTTGCATCTATCTAAACTTTTAGTTCCATATTAGTTGGTTAACTAACATTTAGATGTTATTATTAATATCTAGTATTGAATAGTTTCATCAAAACATCTAAATTACATGTTGAAATCATTATCACTCACTCCCAAAAGACTAGAGCATATTTTCTATCTCTCTCTCCACTGATACATTTGCACTAAAATTTTAGGTTACAAGTCCTCAGCACATATTGCAACCATAAGTGTCCGAGTAAGGAGAGGGAAGACCAATATTTTGCCTTTATCTTGATAATATATATGGTTAATTGCTAAAGGTGCATTTCTTTGAATTTCCTAGAAACTTCACTTGGGAGTGTCTTTTGAGAAAACAAAAGGTACAAAAATTTATTCTTTGTGAATTTTATATCCTCATATATATGCATATGTATGCTTTCTGTTGTTGTGAATTATAACATCATAAAAATCATTTATGACATTTTTTAAAAAATAATTCATGTTCCTCTGGTATGTATTAAAAATAGTTCATTCATTTTTATATATCTTGCCTAATAAAACCCAATCATATAATGAAAAGGATACATTTTGCTGTGTGGATATGTCCAAGGGCAGTAGGGCAATTTGCGCCCACAGGCACTGACAATCTTGCAACAGCTTGCAAAACAGGGACCAAACAATTGGAGTATATTATACATTTAATATACAAATTTTTATTTTTTTTCGTTTTTTATTTGGGAAGTTTTACAAGTGTGTATGTGTGTGTAGGGTATAAGTACACTATGTATTCCTGAAGATAAAGTGCGTCATGAATATTTCTTGATTGGAAAACATGCCTTTGTACCATTGACTCCTTGGTCACATTGTGAGTTGTCATTAGTGATGTGCATACGTATTTTTTTCACCAATCGGATAACTAAGTCTGCCAATATCTGAAAGATATGGGTTAATGAATATTCAAAATATAAGCACATTACAAATTCTTTGTTTTTTTATGTAATTGTAGTTCACTTTTCGGGAATTAAACAAAAATGATTTATGGCTCAGAGTTTCAAATATGTCTAATAAAACATTGGAACTTACACTTTATTATGTAATACTGTTTAACCAAAAAGTGGAATTTCGGTCAAAATTTTATTTTAGAAGAACTTGAGTTACTGATAATCAATATATAAAATGAATAAAAGAAATTGGCTTCGATAATAATAAGATGAACAGAAACAAATAAAGTAAATCGGTATATTTCGATGATATTTACTGTGTCTACAAATGATCGGTCTTCTCCTTTTTATAGTTATTTCTAAGATATACGTTTTGCCTTTGTCATAATAACAATTAAAGACATTTAATGCTACGTTACAATGGTAATCATTGTAATTCAATACAGATTCTCTAACGTTTTCAGTATTTAATGCTTATTAAATACTGTATCTGTACTCTCTTGTGCTGTCAGATTCATTCTCCTTAATTTTTGGATTTAAATAGGTACGAGCGTCGAGTCTTTTGAATATTTGCTCATGCCTTTGCTTGTGCCTCTGCTCGTATCTGTTGCGACTCGTGCCTCTTTGCTAATCATCATTCTTTGACCAGCCTTCGTGTCATGACATGTCATCTTTCAATTACTTCAATATATATAAACTTAATTTTTCCCAATACAGATAGTCCCTCCACTTGCCATTATTCATCAATTGAATATTTGGGAAGTAGATTTTATTAAAGCGGGAATATTTGCAGCCATTAATGCTATTATGGAATCGACGCTTCAATTGTCACTTCCATCTAATGCTTATTACACGTGGCATCTTTTTATTGATTCTGTGACTTTGCAACGCTTTTTAAGGCTCTTTTGCAGCTTCACCAATAACGACAGTTCTCATTATGACCTTTCCATCATTGCACTTTTTTCTTTGACGATTGCTTCTTAGTATAAAGGCGTAATACATACGGAGACACCTAAAGTTGGCACAATCTTTCACTTAGACACTAAAACTAGGCCTCTTTCCAATTAGACACGTTTCTTAGGCAATTCTCATACCAATTACACACGTTTTTTGCTGGCTTACTAATTAACCAAGCGCATGTTCTACAATCTCCGTCTATGTGGCAAAAGTAACCATTATAAATCGTGCCACATCATTTTTTTGTCCACCTCACTATCCACCTCAGCTATATAGTGTTATTTCCACTAAAATACAAATACCCCATTCGTCCCCAACCTCCAACGTTCCCCCACCCGCCGATGTCTCCAATCCCGTCGCCGACATCACCCCTGCTCCCTCTTCGTTGTCCAATTTTTGTCGTCTGATCTCGTCTGGCAAGCGGCGTCAAACAGATCCAAACTCCAAAGCCTAAAGTTCATAAAACCCATTTATCAAACTCCTTAATGAAGCCAAGAATTTCCGCAAAAAATATCAAAATTAAATAACAATGGCCAAGTAAGTTTATTCTATTTATTAGGATGTTGGTCTCATTTGTTTACCACTTTTTAGTTATCTTTATTTGAGATTGATAGTTCTGCTTGATGATTTTTTTCCTGCAGCTTTATTTACTTTTTGGTATTATGGCAATGAAATATTATGGTGGTTGGAGGAGAAGTTTTGGTGGGATTTTGGAATTGGGGGTTGGTGATGATAAATGAGAAATGGTTGCTGCTTGGTAATTTATGAGGAGAAGATGACTTATTGGAGTATTATTATGGAGGAGGAAGGTTTAAGATAGTGGAGGAGCTGATATGGTGGAAAAATGGAGAAGATGATGGAACACGATTTGTTTTTTGGGTGGGTGAGCGGGTGGGGGGATTTAGTAAAAATAGGGTTTTTTGTGGTCAAATGCATTTTTAATATTTAATTAATTAAAAAATTCCATGTTTATTTCATTCACGCGCTCAAGGAGACTGAGAAACACTTTCTTTGCCATGTCATAGTTTTGTGTCTAATTGGTATGAAAATTGCCTAAGAAACGTGTCTAATTGGAAAGATGCCTAATTTAAGTGTCTAAATGAAAGATTGTGCCAACTTTAGGTGTCTCCGTATGTATTACACGTAGTATAAATATAGTTTTCACCTTTGTCTTTCTCACATAAAGTTCTCTGAATATTCAATTCTTAAATTCTTGTTTGTTTCTTCCTCGTACTATCACGTCTTCATCAAACCTTAACCCTGGAAGAGTTCCCATAGTTGATAACTTTCCTCTTGTCCCTAGCAGGAGTAGAAGAGGAGGTAGACTACGTAATTTAGGGTCTTCATCCATACGTGGTTCTTCTCTTCCTTCATCTAATTCCAGTCCTTCTTCTAGAAACAGAGGTTCTTTTTTCTCAAAGATCTTCTTCTAGAGGTAAGGAACCCTCTGAACCTCTTCGTGAACCTTCAGTAGAGGAAATAGTTCTTGCGGAACTATCTTTCTACAATGATAGAGAATCCCTTAGAAATCAAGTGTCCTCTTTGGATCGTGCTGATATCTATCCAACTCAGATCACTGAAGGTTTGATTTTTTTAGTTCGTAAAGAGCCATTGGAGTCATGACTTCCCTATCATAATTCGTAATGCGAATCAAAGAATCACCTCTTATTTAATTGGGTTTTCTTTTGTTTATACATACTCTTTCACATTAGGTTTCAAACCTACTATTGACCCTGTTATCCTCGAATCCTGTCATTTTTTCAACGTCTATTTAGGTCAAATTGGTCCCATAGTGTGAAGGGTTGTTGCTTGTTTGAGGCATTTGACTAACATGGCCGGTGTGCCTTTCACTTTTGCCCATTTAATTCACCTTTACTCTCCCAAACTCTTTCGCCAAGGTGTTTTTACTTTGGCAACAAGGAGCAAAAGAGTTCTGGTCAGTCCAGAAGATGACAGAGACAGTGGCTGGTATGCCAGGTTTGTTGCAGCCCCCACTGTTGGTTTAGTGGGTGATGAAAATGTTCCCTTCCCTGAGAAGTGGAATTTTGCACGTGAGTTTTCTTTTTAATAACTTTCTCGTACCTTTTTTCTTCAATTTTGATGATCATTATCTTAATTTTCCTTTTCTTTTCCAACAACCATGGAAATTGTTGAAGAAATTCCCAATTTCCGTAGTTGGGTAGGAAAATTGTTGTATACAGCCCCAATGAAGGGTAGATCTTGGAAAGCTCTCTCCCAACGGTTTGGTTGGAAAGTGAAAACACATGGTAAGAGTTTTTTTTAATTACTTTTTCCAGATCTTATTTTAATCCTTCTTTTTATCT